GCTGAGCGGCGGCGGCGGCGCGGAGCAGGGCCCGGCGCTGTTCAACGGGGACATGGATCCCGAGGCCGGCCCCGGCGCCGCGGCCTCGTCGGCCGCGGACCCTGCTATCCCCGAGGAGGTGAGTGCGGCGCCGGCCGGCGCTGGTGTTGACTCGGGCAGAGGCGGTGGCGGGGCTCGCGCCCTCGGCCGCCCTCTCCCTGGCGCGGGGCTGCGGGCAGGCATCGCCCCCGTGCCTTCGCCGCCGGCCGCTCTCCGCGACGTAAACACCCACGGCGGCCCGGGGGACTTCCCGGGCCCCCGCCCCAGATGTGGGGGTTCGGGCGGCGGGGCTGAGCGGGAGGCTGTCAGTAGGGGGCGAAACCCGGGCTGCCGGGAAGGTCACGCCTGCCGAGGTGGCCAGCCGCATCTGTGAGGTGTTTTCGTGGTTTGGGGGATGGGGGCGGCCCTGGTGAGGAGGGAGGTTAGTGGTGGAGCCGGGACCCCGGGCCGAGTTGCTCTTGTAGGCGATTTTCCATGGAGTGGGGATGACGGGGCGCCCGGTTCCCTCCCCGCTCTCCCCGACTGCCCCCCGTTCAGGCCGCTGCCCGCCCTCCCGCTTTCCTACTTGTTCGGGAATTTCTATTCACCTGTTCTGCTCGGCGGATGGTTTTAATTTAGTCTTTACCTTTTTCACCCCCAAATCCCCCCGGTTCCGCTGTCTTTTCATCCTGTCTCAGGCCACCCGCTCCTCATGTTTGTTAGCGCTCTGTCGCTGACTGGTGACCCCCATCCCAGTGCCATCCGCCGCCCCGCTCACTCTCCGGTGGTTGGGACCTGCCGCCTCTTAACCTCCACTGCTACCTGAGTCCATCTTCACACTTGTCTTACCTAGTCCTCTGGAGGCGCTTTCCTCCTTCCACCGCTCCACAACATTACCTATTGTCTTCACGAATCCTCTGGACACTTTGGAGTCAGTCACTTTCCGAATCCCTGAACCTATCAAGGTTCCCTCAAGTTCCTACACTTTGAGTTTCTTGTCACCCTTGCACTGCTGACACTTTTGGCTGGGCTTCCATTGCGCGTTCACCTCTCTATTTAAACCTACCCATTTTCTGTAGGCTTGATGTATTTTTTTTTTCTGTTGTCCTTTTTGTCCCAGTTTTCATTTTTACTCTCTTTAGTCCTTGCCTTTCTCAGCTTTTTTCATTATTCGGCCTCTCATCACCTTGTCACATTACTTTATTTGCATATCTTTTTTTATTACATAAAATTTCTTGCGTTCAGTATTTGGTGTTTTATTGCATAAAATAATATACTTCGTTGTACTTTACAAATAATAAGATAACCCTCTGCCATCAAGTCGATTCAGACTCGTAGTGACCCTATAGGACAGAGTAGAATTGCCCCCCGGTATCATAAAGAGCCCTGGTGGCACACTGGTTGCAGTGCTGGGTTGCTAACCAGAAGGTCGTAGGTCGGAACGCACCAGGGGCTCCTCGGGAGAAAGATCTGGCAGTCTGCTTCAGTGAGGATTTACAGCCTTGGAAACTATGGGGCAGTTCTACTTTGTCCTACAGGGTCGCAATGAGTTGGAATCAACTCCACAGCAATGGATTATGGGGTTATATGGTGTAATAACTGGGCTTTACCATTATTGATTAGATAATGTGCCTTATTCTGTTGACTTTGCTCCAAGTTCTCTTTCCTTCCTACTAACATTTTGTCCCCCAGTTCTCTTAACCTCTCATTCTTTCTTCTGTCTATACTGTTCGCTTTTTCCTGCTTGATTATCTTTACTCTGGAAAGTCATCTGATGTGGTTGCTTTATTCAGAATCGTTTGCTTGCAATAATATTTGTTTTCCACTCTCTTACACCACCTCCATCTATGCCCAAAATGTGTTCTATACCATCATTTGATTTAACCTAAATTTCTCAGGTTTTTCTCCCATCTTTCTTACCATCATGAGGCCACACCACTTTCCACTTCCTTTCCGGTTTGCATTTCTGCTCAGGTCACTTTCCTCTAAGACCGGCTCATTTCCCCCAACTGCTTCAATTCGAAGGATAGGGCTCTTTTCCTTCTTTCATTTCCTCGTTTATTCTGTTTCCCTTGTCCCCAGTTCCCATGCGTTCTGCCTTATTTCCTGGCTTTTGGTACTTGACTTGCTGAAGCTTCCTCTTGTCTTCCCCACACCTCCACATTCCATCTTATTTATAAACAGCTTTGTTCCATTGACATGGAAATGTATTTTTAGGATACATTGTTTTTAGTGGGCAAATACTAGGGGTCACGTCTGCTGTCGGTTTTTTGCGTGAATCGGATATGCCTTTGTCTCACCAGGCACAGGTGCCTCTGGGCTTTACTTTACTCTGAAGTGTGTGTGTGGTTTTGTTGAACTGTACCGTTGTTTGAAGACTGTTGGAGTGGAAGAATAGATAAATTATTGGGTATGAGTTATGGAATTGTAATTCTGTGATTATAATATTATTTACATCGGGAACTTGATTTCAGACTTATTAGAACAACTTACAATGATAGAGGGCCTTTGTTAAAGGAAAATCTCTACTCTGTTAACTTGAAAGGGCCAGATTGTTTGGAGTTTAAGGGTTCCTGGACTCTATGAAGACTGTGATCGGTAGGTGAGAGCTAGGGCCATGGGTTTCTGGATTTGGCACACTTCCTAGGCAATTTTCATTTCCACCAATGCTTGAGAGCCTCTAGGCTGGATGAAGTTAAGTTGAAATTGCCAGTAGTTGGAAAGCGTGTTCATATCCCCTGAAACTGTAAGAATCCTCCTAATTTTAAGTAGTTAAAGGAGGTGTGTTTCTCACCACCCCCTTCACCCAGGTTTTGATGTTGACTGTTGAATAGTCCATTTTCCTCTGTATTTTCATACGGCTGATAATAAATGTATTGTGGGAGAGTAAATGATGAATTAATTGAATGTATGTATGAATGTTACAGATGGTAGAATGCATTCCTCCAAGAAATAATTTTAAATTTGGAGTTGATATTGTTAATTCAGTGGAAGCTGAAACGTACTGTGATCTTTTAAGTTGAACTGTCTTCCTTATATGCCCTTAAAGGGATATCTTATAATTGCCAAGTACTGAAAAGAAATGAAAAATTGTGCTTGTGTATAGTGACATATTTTATTCTAAAGAAGTTATTTTGCTGTTGTTAGGTGCCACCCAGTCTTTTGACTCCTAGCTCCCCCACGGCTAACAGAATGAGATGTTGCCTATTCGTGCATCATCCTCACAATTGTTGCTATGCTCACCTTACCTGACAGTAAATATAGGTGTTTTACAAAAAGTTTCTCAGAGGGAAATTTCAACTCCACCAAAATATTTTTTTTAATTATAGAGGCTAAGCGTATTCATTATAGAAAAATTAGAAAGATAAAAATACAAAAATAAAATTAAAAAATCATCTGTAAACTTGCCCCTTAGATATAACTACTATAAGCATTTTGGTGAATACCCATCTGCTTTTTATGCATGTATAATACACTGTGTGTAGTTTCATAATCTTTTTTAACCTAAAAATATAGCAATATTTTTTACATATTATTAACCATACTGTGATTTATTTAACTAATCCTTTTGGGGGGGGTGTTAGATTGTTTGCATATTTTTACTGTTATCAAATATCTTGAACATAGAATGTAGATTTTAGTTTTTAAAATTATATTAAGGAGTGAACAAATTTCATGTCCTGTATTTGTAAGTTTAACTTTGTAGATGCTCAAAATAGAATATTCTGATAAATGACAAGAGCCTATTAAACAGTCATCCAATGAATGTGCTTATACTTTAGCTAATAAACATTTACTTCTTACCATTTATGTTTCCCTGATGTGACTTTCTGCCTGTGACCATATGGTATAAGATTACCAGAGTGTGATTTTTATTAACTAGTCTTCTTACGCTGTGTTTCTGGAGGAGGGAGCCTCTCACAACTGCATTACAGTTACTGTTGTATTATTTTCTGTTTTCAAGATGTCTTATCTCCAGTCCTGGTTAAACTGTGTGATTATAGTAATGCATCACTAAGGACTATTTTGGGATGGAATCTCCCTTGTAACAAGGTCCTCTGTATGAAAGCATGTTTTCGTGAACCCTGCTAAACCAGGATGAATTCCACATGCCTCAGAAAAGCGGTGGCCCCACTAAAGTGTGTGCTTGTGCAGTTCTGGCCTTTGCCATTGGTGTTGGTAGGTGCTGTCAACTCGCTTCCAACTCATAGCTACCCCATGCAGCAGAGTGGAACTGCCCCAGAGGGTTTCCTAGGCCCTAGTCTTTACAGGAGTAGATCTCCAGGTCTTTTCTTCCGTGGAGCTGCTGGCTGGGTTTGAATCACGGACTGTTCGGTTAGCAGCCGAGCACTTAACCATTGCGCCACGAGGGCTCCTTTGCCGTTATTTGTCTGAATATATTTGAAGGTGGACAAAATGTGTTCTTTAGGCAAAACTCTAAAATAGCTCTTCTTTGGTATTTTTAGTGTTTGTTCCCTTTCTGTACTTTCCTTCTCATTTAATAAACGAGAAATGAGAGTGAGACACTCACTCCTTTTCTTTAGAAAATTATTGACTGTCAGTCACTTACCGTATGCTGGCTGTAAAAGGAATCAGTGGTAAGTAAACAGGTAAGAAAGGAATGTTGGGACTGGGTGCTTGACTCCTTAAACCTAGTAAACTTGAGGGGCGCTTGATTTAATTGCATTAGAATAATAGGCTAGAAAAATGATACTAGGATAACAGGCCAGAGAAGCCTTTAACTTTTCTATTTCCCTGTCTGCCCCCTTGCTTTCCTGATTAGGAAGAATAGGAAGCTGATCCAGCTATAGCAGCTGGAAGCCTGAACTGGTGAAGTTCTTTAAGTGGTGGGAAGAGAGGGAAGGAGCAGGCTACACTGTTTCTTGTTTTGGTTTTTAGGATTTTCTAAGACCTGACGCTTACCCTGTAGTATGGGGTCACTAATCAGTGTTCTTCCTTTTCCCTTTGTCTCCAATGGTAAAGCTGTTTTCTCCTTCAAATCTGTAGAAGTGCATTTTGTTTTCTTTGACGTATTCACATTAACTTAAAAACTCATTGGTGTCAAGTTGATTCCGACTCATAGGGACTCTATAGGACAAA